TTTCATTCCCCATTGTGCCTTCCAATGTTCTGCTCTAAAAATGTCTTTCGCCTTAGTCCATCTCTTCACTGTTCCTTAACTATTGGGGTCTCGTACTTTCTGGTTGGTTTGTGGTTTTGGTTGTTTTTTTTTTTCACGGCTGTCTTCTCTTTGTGATAGTTTCCAAAAAGCTATCTTTCCATTTGTATGCATAATGCCTCTGAACTTTTGGTCTCAGTTATATGCTGCCCTTTTATCATTAGCCAAATAATTAAGGACAGATAAAGGAGCAGTCAGCACAGATTAAGAGCATGCATTTTATTAAAAATACTCAATTTAAGTGTAATAGTTAATATACATATTATATATTCCATATATTTAAAGGACATGAATAAATATAGTTATTATAGACAAATAACGCATCCTAGTGTTGCCACCTAATTTGCATTTCATATGTTATTAATAATCTTTAATGATAACTGTTCTGGGAAAGCACAGATAAGGGCTGCATATGCAATATAGCTTGGGAACTATAACTATACATGTGTAACTGTTATTATTGTTCTAGGCAGATTTTCTTTTTCTGCAAAATTAATGTGAGAGGCTGATGTGCTCCAGTAAGTGTCGTGTTGCTAATAATTTGATCACACATTTTCTTCCTTCTTAAAGAAAAGCCTTACACTGTTAACACAACACTTTTCAACTCAGAGAGGAAAAAGCCAGACTAAATTACCTGCAGATGAAACAAAATCTTGAAAAGTCATTTTTATGAAAAGCATATTTCACTAAAAATTAATATATGACCAATATAATGTTTATTCTTAGTATAAGAGGACACACTAAGGAATACTTCATGGCAACTGTATCAATGTTCCAGGCTTTTTCTTTTAGAGAACCATATAAGGAAGTATAAGTGGAGCTTTATTGCAAGCCATTCTTGCTGTAATTCTGTCTTGTATCAAGCATTTCTCTGTATGGTTTAATAAGAAAACCTACATGAACTTTTTTGCACCCAATGAAAACCAGTTTTTGACACTGTCATTGGTAGTCCTATATAGTTTAACCCGTGTTTGTGAGAACATCTACCTTTTTGTTAGGAACATTTTTTTTTTAAATCAAAGATACTACAGAACACAAAATTTTATGTACTCAGTCAAACCAAGGGTTTTAAAAATCTCTAAAAAATCTCATCTAAAAATCTCATCTAAGATGCACACTATATTAAATAGAAAAGCTGTTTCCTTTCTTCTTCTGTCTCATCCCTTCTGGAAGCCAAGCAGTTCACAGAAGATCTAACCTATGTCCCCTTGAATGAGATTTTAAATATCCGTTTATTTTTGCTCCCAGCCTCAGTTTTTCTGTGGAAGTTGGCAGGGCTTTAGCTTCATTCATGTAACCTTGCAAAGGAAAATATTTGATACTAAGGGTGATGTATCAACTTGTATTTTTTTCAGCGAGTCTGGTACTGTAACGTCTGCAACTGGTTTCCTTGGCACATGCAGAAAAGTCGTAATCACAAAGGCCATTTCCCCAGTGTCTGTCTGACACAATCATGAGAAAAGATCTTGAAAGCATTTACTGTGTGAGTGGGGTGTGGGTTTGTCAAGAAAGACTAAATTTTTGCTGCTGAGAATTTGGAAATCCTGATGGATTTGGAAATCCTTTGAAAGTCCTCTGGCGCTGAAGCACTGAATGATAAAAACCTATGTGGACATGTAAAAGGAAGCACTTCAAGAATGAAAGCAGAAAAAGAACCAACAAAAACTTTAGCTTTCATTGCATGTATTGCTAAAGTAAATTTTGCTTTCTTATGTGGTGGGTTGACCCTGGCTGGACGCCAGGTGCCCCCCAAAGCTGCTATCACTCCACTCCTCAGCTGAACAGCGGAAAGAAAATTTAATGAAAGGGTGGTGGGTAGAGATAAGAACAGGGAGAGATCACTCACCAATTAATGTCATGGGCAAAACAGACTCAACTTCAGAATTTAAATTATTACCAATCAAATCAGAGTAGGGGAACAAGAAATAAAACCAAATCTTAAAACACTTCCCCCCACCCCTTCCTTCTTCCTGGGCTCAACATATCTCCTGATTTTCTCTACCTCCTTCCCCCAGAGCAGCACAGGGGGACGGGAAATGGGGTTTGTGGTCAGTTCATCACATGCTGTTTCTGCCACTCCTTCCTCCTCAGGGGGAGGACTCCTCACATTCTTCCCTTGCTCCAGCATGGAGTCCCTCCCTTGGGAGGCAGTTCTTCATGAAGACAACTTCTCCAATGTGGGTCCTTCCCACGAGCTGCAGTTCTTCATGAACTGATCCAATGTGGGTCCGTTCCATGAGATCACAAGTCCTGCCAGCAAACCTGCTCCAGCGTGAGCTTCTCTCTCTCCACGGGTCCACACGTCCTGCCAGGAGCCTGTTCCAACATGGGCTTCCCATGGGTTACAACCTCCTGCGCATCTACCTACTCTGGTGTGGGGTCCTCTACAGGCTGCAGATGGATATCTGCTCCACTGTGGACCTCCATGGGCTGCAGGAGGACAGCCTGCCTCACCATGGTCTTCACCACAGGCTGCAGGGGAATCTCTGGTCCGGTGCCTGGAGCACCTCCTCCCCCTCCTTCACTGACCTTGGTGCCTGCAGAGGTGTGTCTCTCACATATTCTCACTCCTCTCTTCTGACTGCTGCAGTTGCCATTTCGTAGCAAATTTTTCCTCTTCTTAACTATGTTATCCAAGAGGAGCTACCACCATCGCTGATGGTCTCAGCCTTGGCCAGCGGTGGGTCCGTCTTGTAGCCGGCTGCCATTGGCTCTGTCAGACATGGGGGAAACTTTGAGCAGCTTCTCACAGGAGATATCCCTGCAGCTCCCCCTGCTACCAAAACCTTGCCAGGCAAACGCAGTACATCTTAGTACATTCTCAGTCCCGCAACTGTTTGCTGTTTCCCAACAGCAAAACAAAGCTAATGCTTTTTCTTATAGTTTCAATCTGGCCTTCCCATGTGCTTGAATGTACCCTAGAAGAGGTCACAACAAGTGGTTTATTTTTGATTCTTAAATGAATGTGCAGAGTAGTAGTGCAACAAATAGGTAGCGTTAGCTCTGTTCTTAAAATTGTGTACAAAATAACTAATCCTTCTCCCATCCCACAAAAACAAGACATTGTAAATAAGTTCTTTATTATTTATTTAAAGTGGACGGCATACTGGCTGTTGTGTGAACAAGACTTTCTGCTCATCATCTTTTGCAGACCTCACTAATATGCAGAAAGGCTGTTTGCTCACTTGACTGCAGGAGCACTTTTTTTTTTTGCTGGAAATGAACAATTGAGTTTAAATGCATGTTGTGGCAAAAGCAGGAAATTTCCATGCCCCAAAATGTGACCAAAATAATGTGGGTGTGAAGGGTCTGCAGACATGTTCACAGCCAAAGCAAGTTTGTGGGTGCATCCCACCCCAATAGGATAGAATATTTGAAGGATTTCAGTAGTTGCCTTCCAAACAGTAGTAAAGTTTTGAAAGCTGAATTAAATTCAAGTGTTATTTATTCACAGATATACTTTTTTTAATCCTAGTCTATAATTAACAGCATTATTGTGAAGATTGAAGGTTTTATGTTGCCTGTGGGAATGTTGTAAGTGTTAGCACATTAAATGCAGAATGACATGTTCTTAATTTACACATGGGCTTAGTGTATAGTGATACAATGCTGTACCCATTGTGTATGGACAGACAGGAAAAAATGAAAAAGGGTGCTTAGCTGCATGGTAAAAGTCTTGGACACACAGAAAAAACCTATAGTCATGAAATAATGTGGGGTCCCACATGTTCGTAGAACATCATGGACATCGAGGTTATAAAATGTTGGCATTTTTCTTAATATAAAAAAATGCTAAGAAGGTTTTTTTTTATTTGTATTTGAGTAAACATGTTGCATTATTAAAAAATAGGAATTGACAGACAAAAGCACAGTGCAATAACTGTGAACTGAGTAAGTCAAAGGACCATATGGAGTATAGTATTAGTTAAGTCACTCATTCAGACCCCATCAGACCCTCTGTTTTAGTAGCTGCTATTTATTTTCTCCACAGTCTTATGTTTTGCAGCAGTCCAGTTGCTATGAGTAAGAGTATCCTCACAAGATATAAATATCTTCTTTTCTTTTTTTTATGTTATAAAGTTAACAAGAGAAAAAGACTTTCTTATTTGTAAAAATGATTTTCTTGGCAAACACAATTGGTTGCTAAAATTTATGCAGAATAAATCTTCTCTGATTATTCACTCTGAAAGAAGCTTGGATGGAGACTCCAAGCGTTACAGATCAATGTAATCACCACATCTCAGACAGTTACAGAAGATGATTGCTAGAATAGCCACATGGGTTTCTTTCAATTTGCTGGGAATTTATTCCCCTTATTTGGGGTGGGGGTGTGTGTGTGTGTGCAATTATTTTTAAAATCATTGGTGCCTTAATCTTCAGCATCTTCACCATTGCAATATCTCTCAGTCTGACAAAGTGAGAAAGACCTTAGACCTTGAGGAGTTTGGAAGAAAAAAATAGTAAGAAGGTAAAAGTACCATATTCATTGACTCCCCTTTACTACTCTTTCTGCCAGTTTGAGAAAATTTGAATCTTACTTCAAAGCCTGTGTTAGAAGTGGTGCAAAAATAACCCCCTGTAATATATCTATTTGTGTAATCAGAGGGCTGATATTGCAGTAACTCAAGGTCATTCCATCCTATTCTGTTTATGATTCTTGTTTTGACTGTTGTAGTCTCCAGCAAACGTGCACGAAAGAAGAAAATAGTTTTAGTAAAAAGGTAACCATGTTCCTGTTCTTTTTTTAACTGCATCTTTAAGCTGGAGGTATGGGATAGTCTGTTTTCTTCCACTTCACTCTTTCTTCTTTGGTTTTTATTTTGTTGGAAGTGTTGCTGTGACTGGCTTGTAAATAAGTGCTCATGACGTTACTGTGGGCAGCACAAGAGAGACAGACTGACATGGATCTCATGTTTTTCCAGATGAGGATAGGCATTCACTCAGGATCAGTGCTGGCCGGCGTCGTTGGTGTAAGAATGCCACGTTATTGCCTCTTTGGAAACAATGTCACCCTTGCAAGCAAGTTCGAGTCAGGAAGTCACCCACGCCGCATCAATGTCAGTCCAACCACATACCAGTAAGTCCTCTTAGCCTTTTCACACAGTTTTTATTTCAGCCTGTTTTGAGTTCGATCTTGTAACATGCTCTGTCCTCAACACATGAGCTTCAACGAAAGTTGGCAGGGCACCGGAACAACTGGAAAGAGGTGTTGCATGGGGCTGTCAGTCTTTTGTTTGCCATAAGAATATGCAAAGAAGTCAGGCAATGGAGGCAAGGAAGCACAACAGGAGGGCCAACCATTCCTGCCTAAAATAATGTGTAGCAGAAGAAGTGGGACATGTCTCCTATAGCACCATAATTTTTTGCACTTTTACAGCTTTAGGCTAAGGATTTGGGTTCCACCCGCTATACACAGTTGACGAAGAGAAGAACATTCCCACTGGCTCAGAAGAAAGTCTTTAATTTTGTCAGCAAGACCAAGCTTTCAAAGAGTTTTTGTGCTTTCTTGCAGACAAAATTTCTTGTTTAGCATTGTAAAGAGACACTTGATAGAAGCATTTTCTTAATGTAAGAAAAAAGATTAAAAATGGCAAAGCATTATCCTTAGCTCTTTGAAGAAATTATGCAAATAGAGAGACGGCTTGATTAAATCTGGTTAGGAGGAACAGCTCCTAAATTAAAAAGGTGTTCCTTACTGTTCAAATTTGGACTAGATGATCTCCAGAGGTCCCTTCCAACCCTAACCATTCTGTGATTCTGTGACAGCTTGACTATTAGAATTTCTGCTGCTTGTATTACTACTGATGTACTCACTTTTTTGGCAGGACATCTCAATCTTACTCTTTCCAGCATTCTGTGTCTGAAGTAATTTTCTGACATACAGTTTTGCTCAGGTTTTGGGACTGTTTCGCTGAGGTTAATCTGTACATAATTGCTCAAACAATACTGGTTTTCTTTTTTTTTTCTTTCTTATACAGAACCGTGAATCTCAATATTTATTTTTTCCCCATACCTATCTTTGTAAATTACAGTTTTAAATGGAATTTCTTCATCCAAGAATTGAAGTGTCTGATATGCTAAAATATAAATCAGTCAGAACATAAAGTTTAAAAGTAATTAAAACTAGTGAATAAAATGACATTCATCTGAAGACCCCATTCACTGGAGATCAGATTTACAGAATGGAGCAACTGTAGCTAATTGAACAAGAGGCAGAAAAACTGAATAGACTTTTGATTATAAAGTGCACAGAAGCAGGTTCATATAGTTGTGTGGTAACATGCAAGAGAAACACAGACCCAACGTGCTATCGGGTATAGAAAATCTGTTCATTTAAATAAAAAGAAATTCAGTAAATACATAGGAAATTTATGTCACTTGAAAAGAAATTGTCTTTGGGAAATTCAAGGTACAATATTTTAGTGGCTTTGGCTCCTGGTCTTCAACTGTGGGATAGGAGAAACACTCTAAGACATTGTTTGAAAAGTGAACACAAGATTGTTCACCAATTATGTCCCGGTTTTGAAAACTTAAACAGTAGCAGGGCTTTTGGTGTTATTGTTACACAAATGGAGGTAAATGATTCTGGCAAAATGCAACCAAGGCCCTGTGACAGGGACCTGAACTCTTCTTGGATAGGAACAGTTCTTATAAAGGGATGTTCTCCAACCTGAGGAGGTCTTCAAGATATTCTGAAAGTGCAGTCCATTATTTTTCAGAAGAGAGATGTTAATGCTTCAGAAATGTGGTTCAGGGGTGTGGTTCCACTCAGGGCTATGATGTTGCTCAAGATTGTGTCCCTGAGAGCAGAAATTGGTGAGCTAGACAGTTTCATATTATTTTAAGAAACATACAGTTGGAAATAGTGTTTGTGGGGCCAATGATGCACAAAACTCCTTTCTTGCCATGCTGAAGCCAGAGTCACTTTCAGTGTGCCAGGGCCAGTTCTGTTGATTTTGGTTATGACAGTGATATGGCATCTTTTCTGTGAGACAACAGATTTTTGGTCGTTGTTGAGCAACCTGATCTAGTTGGAGATGTCCCTGTTTATTGCATGGGATTTGGACTAGGTGACTTTTGAAGGTCCCTTCCAACCGAAACCATTCCATGATTCTGTGTTTCTGTTTTCTTTTCATCACATTACTGGTCTGTTCTGAAAGCCAGTTTGAAGGCTTGTATACAGAGTTTGCTAGAAATCCGTACTTTTATGCTGCCCTTTATTTGACTCCAGGTACATTGTAGCACAGAGAAGGTGGCTTCTGTTTGTCTGTGTCTCACCTCTACCTGGCTGCCAGTGGTCATACCATACTGTAGCAAATCAAATGTGGGTAACATGGGCTTGGAGAGCATTCTTACTAAGACCTAGTAGCATAATGTGGCTCGGATTTTCTCACCCTGTATATCTTCCAGGTTGTATCAAAAAGTGGGCTACAATTTTTTTTCACTTACCTTTAATCCTAGAAATCCAGGAGGAATAGGACCATTTGTTTCAGGATCACCAAACTTTCACCTTATATGATCATCGTGTCTGGGCTTGTCTTCCAGAAAGTTACAAATTTAGACTGTTGCTTTCAAAAAGGGAAGATAGCAGAAAAGTGACTGACGATGCAGTCACTATATGTTATATGCTATAACATAAACTTGCAAAACAGAACACAACAAAATGCAGATTTTTTTTGTATTTGTTATCTGCATTATTATACTATGTAAAAAATCTGCTGCTACGTGCTGAACAACTTCAGTGCTCGATTCAGAGAGCTTCAAGTGCAGGTACCAGGCTAGACATGGTTACAGGTAAAGTAGAAATGGCAAGAAAATATATGTCTGAATGAGAGGCAGTGATCATTGAAGATGAATGGCTAAAAGTAATGATGAAAAGACTAGGAACTAGTTTATTTTACATGCTTCAGAAATTACATGAGAAAATAAAATGAATGTGCACGAGGCCACTTAGAAAGGCTATTTCAAACCATACCTTCTGCATGGTTGAAAAATGAGAACAGACAGGGAAGAAGTCAAGAAATGAAACTATTGACACAGTGGCCAGGAGAGACTGCAGTTACAAAAGTCTGTATGGCAGAATTATTCAGAGCTTCTGAAGGTGATCTAGGAGGTTTGAACCTCATATACGGGTGGTATCCAAATCAACAACTAGTGATCTGATGCATCCATATATAACTTTTCTTAAATTTAATTTGCATGAGTATATTATTTGTTGTGTACAAATAAAGTGACTCATCGCAAACTGAAATGTCTCTATATTTGACCTTACATTCTATCAAATGCTTCTATTTGATCATACTGTGCTACTATGTACTCAGTTAATATTTTTATTATCTGAGAAGCAATGTTTTCCAAAGTAGATAATTCTTCAATCAGTGTGAAAATAACAGAATTTTCAATTAATTAAAACTCCTGGCATTTATCATTATGTTTTTATGTCTACCATGCCCCCTGAAGAAAATTCTGATACAAGTTTTGTGCTTACAAAGCATACAGATACTGGAAACATGTCCAATACTTATCAGCTTTCATTTTACAGTACAGATTATGCATTAGAAAGCATCATCAGCATTCAAATTATAATCACACTTCAGAATGCCTGTTATTGGTTTCAGACGCTTCCCTGCGAGCCCATAATCTGCCTATGTAAGAATCAGAGTCTAAAATTATACATATAAGATGCGGTGTTGCCTAGCAGCAGCAGTGAACCTGGGGCAGCCTTGCTCCAGTTACACCTGCCTGGGCAAAGCTCCGCCGTGTAAAACAGCACCTTTTGCAAAGGTGGCCTTGGAATCTGCTGGGGATAAGAGCACACTTCTGTTCAAAATAACTTGTTCCCTTGACTCAGGCAGGTCTTTTGACTGAAGGATTACAGAGCTTCATTTCATTTGTTTTGAATCACTGAGCATTGTAAAATGAAGGCACTGGAACAGCATTGGTACAACTTCCAGTGAAACATGTGGAAACTGGAGAGGGAGCAGAGGATCCCAGACTGGTCTGTGTTTAAACATGCGGCCAGGAAGGACTGGGAGAATCACAGAATCACAGAATGGTCAGGGTTGGAAGGGACCTCTGGAGATCATCTAGTCCAACCCCCCTGCCCGAGCAGGGTCACCTACAGCAGGTTGCACAGGACGGCGTCCAGGCGGGTTTTGAATGTCTCCAGAGTGGGAGACTCCACCACCTCTCTGGGCAGCCTGTTCCAGTGCTCCACTACCCTCAAAGTAAAGAAGTTCCTCCTCATGTTAAGATGGAACTTCTATGTTCAAGTTTGTGCCCATTACCTCTTGTCCTATCCCTGGGCACCACTGAAAAAAGACTGTTCCCATCCCCCTGGCATCCTCCCTTTTAAGTATTTATAAGCATTGATAAGATCCCCCCTCAGTCTTCTTTTCTCTAGACTAAAAAGTCCCAAGTCCCTCATTCTTTCCTCCTAAGAGAGATGTTCCAATCCCCTAATCATCTTCGTAGCCCTTTGCTGGACCCTCTCTAACAGGACCCTGTCCTTCTTGAACTGGGGAGCCCAGAACTGGACACAGTACTCCAGATGCGGTCTCACCAGGGCAGAGTAGAGGGGGAGGATGACCTCCCTCGACCTGCTGGCCACACTCCTCTTGATGCACCCCAGGATGCCATTCGCCTTCTTGGCCGCCAGGGCACATTGCTGGCTCATGGTCATCCTGTTGTCCACCAGGACTCCCAGGTCCCTCTCCACAGAGCTGCTCTCCAAGAGGTCAGCCCCCAACCTGTACTGGTGCATGGGGTTATTCCTCCCCAGATGCAGCACCCTACACTTCCCCTTGTTGAATTTCATCAGTGATAAATATATTGAACGGGACTGGACCCAGTACTGACCCCTGAGGAGCACCACTCGTTACTGACCTCCAACTAGACTCTGCACCACTAACCACAACCCTCTGAGCTCTATCTGCCAGCCACTGTTCAATCCATTGCACTGCCCATTCATATAACCCACACTTCCTAAGCTTTCCTGTGAGGATGATGTGGGAGACAGTGTCAAAGGCCTTGCTGAAGTCAAGGTAGACAACATCCACTGCCTTCCCCTCATCCACC